CACACAGTGACTAACTATTTCATTGTCAACCTGGCTGTAGCAGACTTGTTGGTCAACACATTGTGTTTGCCTTTTACTTTGATGTACACGCTCTATGGAGAATGGAAATTCGGACAGGTGATGTGCTACCTGTTGCCATATGCGCAAGGCTTAGCCGTCCACGTTTCGACCATCACGCTCAACGTTATAGCACTGGACAGATACCGTAGCATTGTCTACCACATGGAAACCAAGATGTCAAAAGACATGTGCATGGCTGTCATTGCGATCACATGGGTGGCAAGCGCGATCCTCGCCAGTCCTCTAGCTATCTTCCGCGAATACGTGACTTTTGATCTATCGCCTGAGCGGACGATTCAGGGCTGCGCCGAGAAGTGGCCTGGAAGTAGTGCAGATGGGACCGTCTACAGCATCGCCATGTTTTTTCTGCAGTACGGCCTGCCGTTGTCGATCATTTCATTTGCGTACGCTCGGATCTGGAACAAGCTACGAAATCACATCAGCCCCGGCGGTGTCCGCAGCGACCGCCATCAGCGCCGACAGAAGACGACAAAGATGCTGGTGGCCGTAGTTGTGGTCTTCACCGTTAGCTGGCTTCCCTTTCACGCCTTTCAGCTTGCTGTGGATATTGACAGCAGCGTACTGGAAATGAAAGACTACAGATTGCTCTATACGGCTTTCCATATTGTGGCCATGTGCTCCACGTTTGCCAATCCCATCCTGTATGGCTGGATGAACAGGAACTATAGAAGATCTTTTTTGGCCGTGTTCAAGTGTGGAAGGTTAAGCAATGGAATGAGAAGGGTTTGTAGCAGTGAGACAGTAAGCGAGAAATGCACGCGCAATAAGCAAAATACAATCAGTGTGGCCTTCACACAAGAAAACACTCGGCTGTGATGACCGCTTGCTTTCAAAACACAAAATGCTGACATAAAAAAAAATCCAAAAAGTCTACTGTAAAGAAGCATTGTAAGTAAATCTGAAAACTGGACACTCAAATTGTCTGATATGTGACCCTGGACCTGGTCTTAAAGGAACACTCCACTATTTTTGAAAATAGGCTCATTTTCCAACTCTCCCTAGAGTTAAACAGTTGAGTTTTACCGTTTTCGAATCTATTCAGCCGATCTCCGGGTCTGGCGGTAGCACTTTTAGCTGTAGCTTAGCATAGATCATTGAATCTGATTAGACCGTTAGCATCTCGCTCAAAAATGACCAAAGAGTTTCTATATTTTTCCTATTTAAAACTTGACTATTCTGTAGTTACATCGTGTGCTAAGACCGACGGAAAATGAAAAGTTGCGATTTTCTAGGCCAATATGGCTAGGAACTATACTCTCATTCCGGCGTAATAATCAAGGAACTTTGCTGCCGTACCATGGGTGCAGCAGGCGCAATGATATTACACAGCGCCTGAAAATAGTACTATAGAAAATAGTAAAACTCAACTGTTTAACTCTAGGGGAGTTGGAAAATTAGCCTATTTTCAAAAATAGTGGAGTGTTCCTTTAAGTGTCAATTTTGCAAAATTGAGATTTATGCATCATCTGAAAGCTGAATAAATAAGCTTTCATTGATGTATGGTTTGTTAGGATAGGACAATATTTGGCTGAGATACAACTATTTGAAAATCTGGAATCTGAGGGTGCAAAAAAATCTAAATATTGAGAAAATCATCTTTAAAGTTGTTCAAATGAAGTTCTTAGCAATGCATATTACTATTTAAAAAATGAAGTTTTGATATATTTACAGTAGGGAATTTACAAAATATCTTCATGGAACATGATCTTTACTTAATATCCTAATGATTTTTGGCATAAAAGAAAAATGTATAATTTTGACCCATACAATGTATTGTTGGCTATTGCTACAAATATACCCCAGCGACTTAACACTGCTTTAGTGCTGCAGGGTCACATATTTGACAAATTTATGAGATAATTGTGGTGACTTTGTGACTAAACACGTAATTGATTTGGAATACTGTATTTTTTGTTATAATGTAATATGTATTTGGTTGTATTTGGAGTTAGCATATATGATCTGTAAAAAGAATCAGTGAGACAGGGATCTCACATTGAATATATTCTAGTTTTTATGTTCGTTTCCTGTGAAAATAAATGTTATTTAATGGAAAAACGTTCCTGAAACATTAAAAAGGTATCTATAACTCACTCATCTTGCACATGTGATTCAACCAGGGTTATTATCGCTAACTAAAACTAGAGAGAAGCAAAGTAACATTTCTCATTTTCATTTCATTTAACTTGACGTACTAAACAACAAAAACTAAAATTGATAAATATATTAAAAAAATAAAATAAATAACAAAATAATAATAATAAATAATAAAAACGACATCATTTAAACATAAAAAACTAATAAAATGACAAAAACACTCCACAAAATTACTAAAACAAATTTAAATTAAAATGGAAAATACAACAAAACTAATTCAAGACATTAAAAAACAAATTTGATAGAATCTCAGTTATACTAAAAAAACAAAACAATGGATTTGACAGATTGTCAAAAGAATAATGTCTAACAGTGCCGTAGGGGGAAAAAACTCATTTTTGGTTTGATTTCTGTCAAAAAATAAGCACTGTAGTCATAAAGTATTTGCTTGGTTGTTTCTAAAACTCACTTGAATTTAATATATGGTGCCTTTAAAGCTGGTCTGAAACAAGTTTAGCAGAAGTATAAAAGCTTTATACAAAAATGCTGTGTGTGTGAATCAACAATTTTATTGGGCAGCGAGGCAGCAAACCAGCTGCTTTCTGTGTTTACTTTCTAAAACTGAATCTCTTAAAACATAAATATTCTCACAAAATCCTATTTTCTAAGTTCATATAACAGCAACAGGTCTGTCCGGTTGGCAGTTTTCTCAACTAGTCTGTTATGGATATTCATGTTCCATATTAACTGGACATAGTTCATAAAATGAGACTTTCTGGTATTTAGAATTATAAGATGGCCAAATTACAGCTATAGAGAGGGATTGTGTTTTTTTGCCCACCAGAGAAGCCTACAGACTATAAAACGATATGGTTTACAAATGAAATTTATTCCATCAAGATCAGTAATTCTGATAGCCACTGGCCCATGAAAGATCAATCAACTGAGAGGAACAGACCAATCAATACTCACCGAGCACAAGGGAACAACATAAAAATAGAATAAGAGGGCCTCAGAGTTTCGATTCTGTCAATTACTGTCCTGTCTGTCTTTGAATGTCCCAAAAGCCACTAGTATTACATCCACAATTCAATATTGAATTCCTGTCTCTGCGCTAAATGATTTATCTATAGACATCATGCTGCATTAGGGGTTTTATTTCAAGCAGATGGCTTTTAGCCTTAAAGCTTCAGCATGTTAACTGATGGACTGGATTATTTGTGGATTATTGTGATGTTTTTATCAGCTGTTTGGACTCTCATTCCGACGGCACCCATTCACTGTGAGGGGGAGTAAATAAAGAAATTTAAAGAGATCTTTAAGCTTTAAACTTTAAAGGGGTCATAGGATGCTACATGCACTTTTACAAGTTGTTTGAACTGAAATGTGTGTTGGCAGTGTGTGTACACAACCACCCTATAATGATAAAAATCCACCCAGTGTTTTTTTTTTTAATCTACTAAAATCTTTACCCCTTTCTCAAATCGAGCCGATCTCAGATGCCGGTCTGTGTGACGTCACACAGACAGGCCCCTCCCACGATAGTTTGATTGACAGTAGTGTTTCAGCACAGACTGGACTGGCGTCTTACCTTAGCTCCGCCCTCAGTGAGCCGTCATCAGTCCGCCATTGTTTCTCCTCCGGTGCAGATGTAGACAAGCATAACTCCTAAGCGATTGAGGTGTTTTGTTGTTGGATGTAATAATGAACATAGCAGCCGTCATTTACTCCCGACATCTGAGCCGCTGAACTCACAGTGGATTACATTGTTTCTGAAGGGAATGCGTCCCCGATCTACATAAATGCGTCTATGTTCGAGCAGCTCGGAAGAGAGGGGCGGAGTCAGCAGAGCTCATTAACATTTAAAGGAAAATGCTACAAAAACGGCTTGCTCTGAAAAGAGCTGGTTTTGACAGGGTAAAAAAGGTGTTTTTTACACTACCATTGAGATTTTAACCAAACTATGTTACAGACTTTTCATTAAGACCCTAAAGAATCATATCAACTTGTGGAAAATGGGCATCCGATGACCCCTTTAAAGAAATCACTCAGAAGGCAGAAAAACTAGAGTTTGAGAAGTAATACAAGACACTCATGAACAAGATGTGTTTTATAGGAAAAACGAACAAGTTTATCATAAGAACAAACAATAAAAAGGTCCAAACTGTTTATGGTTTGTCAACAAGTAAACAAAATCCATATAAGTAAAAGAAAACAAAAATGAACACATTATTACAAAACAAATTTCCCACATTTATTTTAAACAAAGTAAAGGCTTTGGTAAACATGTAATGCAATGCCATAAACAGCACTGATTTATCTTTAGCTGCCATGTTTATGACCAATTTTGTGATATTTAATACAAATATCTTAAAATTGCTTTTTTACATCGTCGTGAAAATGTCATGTAGTGCTACAGTACTAATAGTATTTCTGACTAATAATAGTCAGAAAAATCTTACACTAATTATTATTTGTTAGGAACAGTTTAATGAAACTTTAAATAAAATATCACAGATTGCATGTATTTTTATTTAGTATAATCATATTTGAAACATCAGGCTTTTTATGGCTCATACAATATGATATAGAAGACCATGCAGCTCATAGTTGAGGAGGAAGAAACGCCTCGATTTCATTCAGGGGCAAACATATGCAATTTTCCCCCTTCAATCCAATAAGTGTTCATCTTGAAATATTATAAACAATATAGTAGTATATTGTTATATAATAGTTATTCGTATGTTTGCTTTATGAGATGTAGTAAAGGTTTCACAAGGAAGAAAAACAAACAAAAACAACATGAGCTGAAGGGGGACGTTTTTAAATTTATAATAAAAAGCCTATATATAGATATAATAATATCAAGTATCAATCAGATGTCAGAAGGCATGTAGAATATTGTGTGCATTTTTTCAGTTAAGTTTTGATCATGCTGATAATTTCAAGGCCTTAGAAATTTGCTTTATAGGGTTAAGAATTTATTTAGTTCGAGTCATTCTGAAATGTAATTCTATCAGAGAACATTGAAATAACGCTCATTTTCCAAAAGGGATTGTTTTATTCGGTGGGCTCCAGGGTGCAGGAGGCTCATCCTGAAGAATAGCCTGAATCTTCTTCTCTTTTCTCTCTCTTTTTTGTTGGAACTCTTTTCTTTTCTGTAATAAAATGACCAGGGCAATATAAATTCAACATCGATCCAACGAGGGAAAACAATGAAAAGATTTCGTTCACAGTATGTCTAGTGAAAACTAAAAACAGATTACTTTTAGTTTGAGAAAAGCAACTTAATATATGACATGAATATGTGCATGTGTTTGTGAAATAGTGTGTAAACGTCATGGTACTGTAACACACCAGCCATTTGTCATACATCTCCAAGGCCATTTTTTCTTTTTCCTCCTTTTCATATTCCTCCTCCACTTCCTTTATCTTCTCCTTCCTGCGTTCTGCCCTGACCTTCTCTTCAATAACATCCTTCTTTCGGTCACTCCTATGCAACATGTGAAGAAATTACCAGAAACGTTATTAATGTGTCTGTAACCCGACGTTTTAACATAAAAGCACATTTACATCTTAATCAACGCATATGCTTGAGCGACTTGTGCATGACCAAATGTGAGCTAATTAACAAAATAAATTATGCATATAATTAAAAATGTATCTTTCTTACCATTCAGCGAAAGCAGAAATGGAGTCCTTCTTCCTCTCTTGTTTCTCTTTGGCCTGCTGTAGTTTCTGTCTTCTCTCAGTCTGTTTCTTTTCTCTTATCCTGTCTTTAAGGATGCTATCATGCTCCTCTTTCCACTTCTCAAAAACCTGCTTTTGGAAATGTTTAGAGTGTGATATATTTAGCATTTGGTGCATTTGGTGGTATAGATTATATCTGTTAGTATAGCATACACTTTAGGAAATGACTGTGAATTTATCGGTAAAAGAGTGTAAAAATGCTACAGTAAAAACCTGTTAAATGGTTAACGGTAAATTCCCCTACTATATACGGTGAAAAACTGTATTGGACATTACATGTATTGGACATTAATTTTACGGTAGTATACTGTTTTTGGAAGTGGAAAAAGACTGTATAATTTACAGTGAATAACCGTAAATTGACATTCCCAGAATTCCCTGCATTACATTTCAAATTTGATGTTTTTTTGTTGAAATAACTGTTTCATCTTATCAGTTTTGTATATTAGCGTTGTGTGTCACACCTAATGTTGTTAAATGAATGTTTATTGCATTATTTCAGTTTCA